GATAAACATTTTTAAAATCAGATTCAAAAGTAACTCCTATTAACAAATGTTCACTTCTATAAGTTGTATAAATGAATAATGAGCAAATGTTTACTTTTTTAACTGTATACAGGTAAGCAGTTATTTAAGAAATTTATGCATCTTGCGAAAATTTTAAAAATTACAATAATTAATTTCTGGGTTATTAATTATCGTAGAACCTTTAAAATTAAGATTTTTGATCTGACGTGAAATGACCCCCTAATGCACATAGTAATGAAATAACTATTTTATGTAAACGAATAATCTTTTAAATTAATTGTATTTTTTGACTTTTGAAGGGATTGTTCATTTTTATTAGTATTGATAGCATTGGTATTCAAGCCAATACATTCAAAAACGATATACTGCAAGATATACAATTTTTAAGTTTTACGCTTGACTTCAAATATATGACTTTAATTAACAAATTTAATTTGGTCGTTATTTATGTGTGATAACTACGATTTTTTGAATTATTATTCCTTAAATTCCTTTTACAAACGGTTAACTAAATAAATTTTGTATTATATAATTTATAATAAAACATAGGTAATTTAAAACTACAAACAGTACAGTAGTAGGTATTGTTTTTTTTTAAATTTAAATAAAACAAGGAATTTTTTTTTATTATACAGAATGTGTTGAGAAAAAATGGTCCAAAAGGCTTTTGTCTACGAATTCTCAAGGGAACTTTTAAACTGATCTAAAGAGTTCAAAATAAAAAGAACAAAATGCCGACAATATTGTTATATTTGTGAAACCACTCAGCAAATAAAGTGTGTGTAAAAAAGATTACATCGCCTATTTTTCTTTGTTTTTCTTAAATAGGACCCTTGTTTGTCGCAAAATATTTATTTGAAAACAGTCAAATACAATTGCCTCATTTAAATATATGAATAATAACCTTTTTTTAGCCCCAAGTAAAAATTTAACTTAACTCTAAGCGCAATTCCCTGACATCACCTTATTTATTAAAAATTAAGGTAATTGGATATTTGTTGACATATTTAAGAAAAAAATTATATTTTTTAAATTTTTTGATCAATAAAAAAATGGATGACCTTTGTGCAAGTCAATTTTTGTGCTAAGCAAAAATTTGTTAACCTTTAACATTTTTAAAGTGCATTCATTAAATTTTTTTATTCTTAAAAAAAATGTTTTTATCAATCACTTTCATTGTAAGTGATATGAAAATGGCAGATAAACATTCGTCATATAAACAAGAGCCACTACGTATAATAAACATTTTTGTGCTTGGTCATATTCAAAAATTTGTTACCAACCTCTAATATTTTTGCTTTCTCGAAATAACGTTCGGTATTTTACATTATTATATTAATCATCATAATATTAATTACCCAAAATATATGGTCAGTGTCACCACTTTTATGCGACAATTTTTCTTTAAGAAATAAGATCCGACTATTTTTTTCTTTTAAAAATATGAATCAAGCTCAAATTTATTCAATTTTATTTTGGTTATTTTTTATATTATGAAATATACTTATTTTAAATTTTATTATATTTCCAAAATTTAAAAAAACTATTTATTTCACTATTTATTACTACATATGCGCATATGCGCCGCGGCTTGCCGGGTTAAATATTTGTTTCTTATTGCAATTATTACTAAATAATAATTTTATTTTAGCAGTAAGTTTTTAAACAAAAAGTTAATTAAAAATAAGTTGTTGTTAAAATTGTTCCTCTAAAACACACGCCTCAACATGGAACAACCTCTTGTTTCTTAAGGTGTGATTGAAGCATATAATAATAAAAAAAATGTTTTTAAATTTAATAGTTTATAACTAAAAAGAAAATGCAAAGAATTACACTATGCTGCAGCATGCTGCCCCGTTTTTGGGAATTAAGTTTTTATTTTATGTATATACGAGGTGTGTTCAGAAAATATCAAGAATTTTCGTTTTTTGAAACAAATATTTATTTATTCGTCTACATTAAAGTTGTCGCTTTCAAAATATTTTGAATAGGTTTTCTTTATCTTTGGGAATAGGAAAAAGTCAGACAGAGGCATGTCTGGCGAATATGGAAGCTGGGCATCATTACAGTATTGTTTTTGGCCAAAATTTTGTTCAAAATTTAACAATTTTAGAACAAATTTTGCTGCCTTGCGTTTCATACCCAAAACATTCGAAAAAATTTCATGGGATGAGCCAATTGATATACCAACATCATCAGCGACTTCTCTGATGGTTTACAACCATTTCTTCCACTTTTTCCATGTTTTTATCGGTTGTTAATGTGATTGTGCGTTCGGGGCGTTCGTCGTCTTCAATGTCTTCACGACCATCTTGGAAACTCTTATACCACTTGTAAACTCTTGTTTTACTTATAGCAGACTAACTATAGGCCTTTGTTAATATTTCACAGAATTTATTTCATTTTTTAAGCAAAATTGGATACAAATTCTTTGATACATTTCTTTTACGAACAAAAAATCGCCGAGCTCATAAAACACGTCTAACCTTAGCGGCTGCCACAGACAAAGTAAACAATGAAAACAGCTAATGTTTTTATCATACTTCGGGGGCATGTATACCAACATAATAAAGAAAATTTTATGACAACCGGACCCTCCGAACCCGCGAAATTTAACAATTCCCGTTATTTTCTGAACACACCTCGTATATACATATAATTAATCAGGAACCATTGCCTAAACCATTAACTTTGCTTAATTTAATGGGCCATTAATAATGGCAAAACTTTGTAAAAAATTAAAAGTTACCTTTTAATTAGGTACGTCCTAAAATGTTAAAAATTGCATGTCAATATTGAAAAATGAAATATATACAAAAAACTAAGCTAAGCTACTTTCTACCAATAAATAGGAAAACTACATGGGATCGTTATCCTTTTAGTAAAACACTAAATGTAAGAGTCAATTTTAAGCAATAAATTCAAGTAATTTTTGTCAGAAAAAAGATTTTAAATTGCATTAAAATACAGTAAAGTATAAAGTAAAAATGGTAACTAACTACACATAAAAAATATAACAAAGTACCAAGAACAGCGCTGTCATTGAATGCATTAAAATTGAAGCAATCTAAATTGTTATTTGCTCAATTAATTACTATTAGACCAAAATAGGGAAACATTTTGCCTAAATGTCAAAGAGTTTATTGCGTTAAATTTAGAAACGTTATAAAATAAATCAAATTAGTATTTAATGCAATAACATTCTAACATAAAATGAAAATAAATATCAATATATTTAGGAGCGATAACTTTTGTTGTTAATTTAAAAACAGTAAACAATTATAAACCAAGTGCTAAATACCTATTGGTAGTATGGGAACTGTTATTCAGGAATACGGATTACAAGATCCCATTGGTTTAATGGCTCACCCATTCGTGCTATGCTAGCGTTTTTTCTGTATAACAACTAACAAGAAGTGAGTCTTTTTGTGCTGAGCTCAATGTTTTACAATTAGTCACAAAAAGACAGTTCTTGGCCGAACGGCATACAACATCTTACCTTCCAGATAAAATTTTACTTTTTTAACGATACATAAATCGTACAATTATTAGCGTTAAATGCATGTAATGCCTACATTGTAGGCTCCAATGTTAAATGGCTTATAAAAACTAACAACTAATAAGTGCTTTCTCGCTTGGCCTTTAACTCTCTAAAAATGAATTAGTCAAAAATGACACTACACCAAGTTGCCCGATACTGATGAGACCCAATATAGGTCGAAACAGCTGTCTGTCGGTATTTGAAGTTGGGGGAAGGCACTCAAAACAAAAAACTTTGTCGAGGTGTAGGTTCAATTTTTTCTTATGAATATTACCAGTAATGGGTCAAGAAAGTTTCTTAAAGAAACTAAGAAAATTGAATGTTAGACTAATTTAATTGTTATTAGTGGCTGCTTTTTCACTTGTACCATGGTTAACCATGGAATACCATGGTATCCCAAAATGTAAGATTGTCCCTTGAATCAGAAAATACTGTCAAAAATTATGAAAGTGGAGCAGTTTTTCAGATATAGTCAATTCCATATTAAATGGAAAATTGACTATATCTCAAAAACTGTTATACTTTTTTAACTTTTGACGACATTTTCGGATTCAGGGGACAATTTTACATAAGCATTGGGTGTTAAATTTTGGTATACCATAATATAGTATTCCATGGTTAACCATGGTACAAGTAAAAAAGCATCCCACTAATAACTATTAAATTATTCATTTTTGACTAATTCATTTTTAGAGAGAATGTACTAATATTATATTATATATTATAAAATTTTTATCGACATTTAATTAATTTTATGTATGTAGCTAACTTTAAGGACGCACTGCAAACACCAATCTTAAACAATATTAACACTAGATAGATTAAATTTCCAGAACTATAAGGAATAGCATTTACACTAAAAGTGAAATAAATGCAAATAAATAACACTTTACCAAGAGTTACCAAACATAGTTAATGTAATTTTCAATCAAATAGTGTATGAAGTCGCACGAACTGTGTTAAATGTATTACACTACAAGAGTACAACTTCTAGAGAAAACAACACTAAAATTCACACTAAATTTAAGGTGAAAATTTGAACTCTAATTAAGTGGACCTGCTCAAGCTATAACTAGTGTTCTCTAGTGAAGCCTAGTGCTTTTTTTTACTGTGTACCTGGTTCTTGCACTGGAAAATATTAAGTTTTACTTACACTTTACGCCAAAATTACTTTCCAATTGTTTTTAATTAAATTTAGCTCTATAGAGCTGTATATATACATATTTGTAATTTAAATTTACAAGTTAAAAAAATATAGAATTTTGATATTATTCGTTAATAAAAAATTCGTTAATAAAAAATGGAACATTCATTTTTAAAATATATAACCTAGAATAATAAAGGAAAATAATATTTTATATAAGTATTGAATAAAATTGCAAAAAAATATTAAATAAAATTATCAGTAAAAAATAACAATAAAAAAATTGTTCCTTACCAAAAGGTCTAGCAACTTCAACACACCAAAACAGCACGAGAAAGGACGTAAGCGTCGCGAGAGCGTCCGTAGAGCACGTTTGACCTGCCATAGAAACGAAGCGTTTTAGCGTCCAGCCGCATGTCGACTAAACGGCGTACGCGACGTCCCGACGGCGGCGGTGGCTAATCGTCGCGCGCCTCGGCGTACCGCGTGCGCCAACTCCGTCAACTTCGCGGCGTTGTTTTTTGATTTCTTGTTTCCGCTCCCACGAACAAACGAAAACTTTGCCAGTCGCCACCGAGATTTGTCTAAGGAAGGGTTGACAAATTTATTTACATTTTATTTTAAATGATGTTTTTAATTTATTAAATTAAATTAAAATATTAAAATAATAAAATATAGGTATTCAAAACATCAACCATACATTTTGAATGATATACTCACGGTGTGCCTGAACGAAGTTTAAGTCATATAAAAATGACGCCAAAAACTGATTGCAGTTTCATGTTCGGGACCCTTTGGTGAATTAAAAAATCCTAGCTGATCCTCTTCGAAATTTTTTGAAAATTTATGATTTTCTTTTTTAAATTTTTGTTTATTTCAAAGTCTACCTTTGACAGAGTACACATTTGTACACCGATTTTTATAAAATTAGAGTATATTATTGAGGAGACTTAAAGAATACTTTTTAATACTGTTCACATAATTTAATATATACAGGGTGAGCCAAAAATCGCTTATTTATAATAAAGCAAAAGCGTAAATTCATGATTTTCCCCATTTTTTTTTAGATATTTCTACGTTTATTAGGTTACAAAATAGCATTCTTATTAACCTTTTATTAAAAAAGTAGATTTTTAATAAAATTAAATAAAATAACGCTTAGAGAATACCTATTTAAAATGTTGTTTAATTTAGGCTTTTTAGAAGTTTTCAATTTTGAACGAAAAACTGGTTAAAGTTTTTTGATCGGCACTCTTTGGAGATTTAAAAACGATATTTACCAAAATTCTAACTGCTTTTCTTTAAATTTGTTAAAAAATCATTTTTTTTTTAAATTATTTGTTTATCGCAAAGTCTACCTTTGCCAGAGTACATATTTGTACACCGATTTTTATTGATTGCAGTTTCTTGTTCGGGACCCTTTGGTAACTTTAAAATGATATTTACCAAAATCCTAGCTGCTCCTCTTTTCGAAATTTTTTGAAAATTCTTAATTTTTTTTTTGTTTATCTTACCTTTGACAGAGTACACATTTGTACACCGATTTTTATAATATTGGAGTATATTGTTAACGAGACTTGGAGAATACTTTTTTCATACTAAGCACATCATTAGATTTATTTTTAGCCAAAAATCACGTTTTTATATAGTAAAAAGCATAATGAACAAAACAGATTTATCTCCAAAAAATTTTACTTTATTTAATTTTATTTAAAATCAATTTTTCTTATAAAGTGTTGATAAGAATCCCATTTTGTAGCCTGATAAACATAAAAATATCTAAAAAAACATGGGTGGGTATTAGGGTGTCCCTTATTTTTATTTTTTTTACACATACCCTCTAATTATATTTATTACGTGTTTATATACTCCCAGTAAAAATTTTAGCTCATTCTATAAACGGGAACCCGTGCCGACTTGCATCTGAACCATCCGTTAGCCAACGTTAGGCGCGCGGTATTTTGTAACACGGTTGGTCGCGAAGTCATTTTGTGTTTGTTATTATGTGACCCTTATATTATAAATTATTGACAAATGTTAAAATATAGTTTTATTTATGTGTATACTTTGATAAAAATGTATATTTTCACAGGGAGTGGCTAGTTACCCGGAGGGGTCTGTTGAATAGGCCGTAAACTCTGAAATTGATAAACTTAATGGGTTTTACTCTAAATAACTAAAAGAGTCTATTGTGAGAGATGACTACCGAAAACTTATTAAACTGTCTGAAATATTTTTGGGAGGACATCAAGAAAAGAAATTATTATAAAAAGCTGAAATTTCATATAACAGTATATTTTAGCAATACTAATTAGTATATTAATATATTTAAGGGATAAAATCAACTAAATTAGTGAAACAAATGATAGAAACAAAAGCAATAATATTAATTAGTAATCATATTTAATAAAATCATTAGAAAAATACAGTCATGAAATATATCTTCTTTTTAAAGTGTTTCGTGTTACAAAATACCGCGCGCGTCTAAGGTTGGCTAACGGAGGGTTCAGATGCAAGTCGGCACGGGTTCCCGTTTATAGAATGAGCTGAAATTTTTACTGGGAGTATATAAACAAGTAATAAATATAATAAGAGGGTATGCGTAAAAAAAATAAAAATAAGGGACACCCTAGTGCACTGAAAGAAATATATGTTTGTTTTAGCAAATGTATGTGGTTCATATATGGACTACCACATACATTGCTAAAACAAACATATATTATATTTAGTTTTAACATAATATGTTAAAACTAAATATAAAAATGGTTAAGGTAAATATATTTTATGTTTCATATATAGACTACCACATACATTGCTAAAACAAACATATATTTCTTTCAGTGTGGGTATATATCTTTTTTGCGTGTTATGCCAAAATCATGAATTTACGCTTTTGCTTTATTAAAAAAAGCGATTTTTGGATAACCCTGTATATATTAAATGATGTGCACAGTATAAACAGTATTCTCCAAATCTCCTTAACAATATACTGCAATATTATAAAAATCGGTATACAAAGGTGTACTCTGTCAAAGGTAGGATAAACAAAAATTTAAAAAAAAATCATGAATTTTCAAAAAATTTCGAAAAGAGGAGCAGCTAGGATTTTGGTAAATATCATTTTTAAGTCACCAAAGGGTCCCGAGCAAGAAACTGCAATCAGTTTTTGGCGTTATTTTTATGTGACCTAAACTTCGTTCAGGCAAACCGTGTACTATGGATGAATATTAAAGTTTCTCATATTTCTCATAAAAACCAAATCGCACATGGGCGACAAAAGTGTCATAAGTAGTAAAACCTTAATTCCGAGATAATGACCGTCAAAAATTTTGAATAATAAAATTCTCACATATTTGGAAAATCATATTAACTTACAGTATTTTCTTTGCAAAGGAAGAATCACAATATGATTCTGAGCCAGTTAATAATTATATTTTAGAAAATACTCTTTTTGGATAAAAGCTATTTATAGATATGTCTGTGTTGCCGAAGAAGGTGTGAATCAATTTTGGAGATATGTCTGTTTTGCTAAAAATGTGTTGATCAATTTTTTAATTTTTCATTCTTTTATTGTTGAATACGAATATGACGAACGTATGACTGGCCCGATGGGCAACGCCTTGCACTAATTTCCCAGAGTTATTTTACTTCCTTTCAGTTCTCCCACGTATCCCGCCACTGCATTGCATTGCCTGTGTTTGGTGAATCCGGAGTCCCCCTCAACCAGGAATTTAGTAATTACCTCTTTCAATTGGGGTTCATGAATGGGGCTTGGTTTGTTAGTACGCTGCTAGGACCTATCCTTGCTGGTCTTGAAGTACTTTCTGTTCGTATGTGTCCGAGTCGGATTCCGAGGTTGCTGACGATAACGTTGCACCCCACTGTGCGATTGCTTATTATTTCGCATAGAACATAATTTATGGTTCCCTTAAATGTGCTTAGTAATCTACAGATGTTTATTTCTTTAGGATAAGTTTCTTTTGCCTAGTGTTTATTTAAACTTGGAGTGTTTAATTACTGCTTATGTGAGCCCCTATTTATGAGTTCTTTGGCAATGCTTGCTGTTCTTATGGAAACTATTGGCGACTATTTAATTTTTACATGGTGGAGTTCTTTATAAGTTAAGGTTGCGAATTTCGCATTAAAATTTAGTAATTTGGTATTATTAAGGTCATCCAATTTTGGTTTACTTATCCGGTTAATGCGGACTTGGACTTCAGGTGCATTGACAGGCAGGTGTTGTGAAATTATTTCTTAACCCCGACATCTAACTATTAACACGTGTTGTTTCTGTGTTGGTAATCCAGGAAAAATTATTCGTTGTATGCAATCACCTCACTCACAGCCTTTTTCACAGGTAGAGTACTTTGGAACTTAATCTAGGAGGAGGTGCCACACGCAATTTGCACCATTTTTGCACTTGGTTCTGGTAGATCATGTGTAGAATCATTTTTGGATACATGGCAACATTGTAGCGTATATGTAAACATTTCGCTCCGAATATAAAAGTTTAAATTGTTGGTTTTTAACTAAAAACTATTTTCCTAAGTGTGTAACAAGTAAATGTGGGACGTTAAAGTGAGTTTGAACAATTTTCTGTATACTTCTAAGTTAATTTTAACCACATATAACAAATTTGTCAGTTTTTTATGCGTTAATCCAAACTGCATAAGATACAATTGCGACGTTGCCGATGTGTAGTTTATTTCCCGATATATATTTAAGAATCTAAAGCAACTTTATTGTTAAATATGCCCAATATTACCACCGAAGATTTATACAATTTGATACTAAATGGAAATAAGGAAATAAAAAAAGAGATTAACGATTTAAAAAGTGACCTTCACGCTGATATTATAACATTAAAATCAAAGTGTGAACAACTAGAAGAGGAAAATACTAGATTAAAGAAACAAATTAACATACTAGAGAGGACAAGTAAAAAATTTAATATAATTGCTTATGGTATAGGAGGCAATGAATCTGACACGCAAGTAAATGTTATAAATACACTAAATAATACTTTAAAAATTAAATGTACTGTAGACGATTTCAGAGATATATACCGTCTTGGAAAACCCAACAGTGAAAAGTCTAGACCAGTTCTTTTGGAAGTGCTACATTACTCCTTAAAAACAGACATAATAAATAAATCCATATCTCTTAAAAATATTTTAAAAGATAAAAAAATTGTGTTTACTTCGGACTATGCTTCCGATGACTACAATAAGCGTAAACTCTTACACAAATGCATGAAATCAGCTCTGGAAAATAACCAGGTAGCCAAAATAAAAAACCATACTCTGATAGTTGATAATAAAGCGTATTCACACGAGGAATTGCTGGAAAATCCCAACGCATTTAAGTCCAATCTGACCGAGTTAAATACCCCATCTACATCAATCGAAAATCCA